GATATCCATCAAGAAGATAGGAAATAAAAATAGTACGGTACAGGATTATACCCTTTCTTATAGAACATTCAGTTCCCCAAAGTCTCTCAGAACAATAAAGTCTCCACTTGCTGATGGAAGGATAAGAATTGGGGAGCCAGCCTAACTTTTCTAGAAGCGGAGATACAAAACCTCATCAGACGCAGCCTTCTCTGCATCTTCTCCCCATTTCTCTATGCTGGGAAACATAGTCCCATGGAGTCCATCACATGACACAAGGCAACTTCCAATGGGATTCCATGGGACTCCATAGAAATGGAATCCAGAGTGTCTTTTGAGAAGTCAGGTGTTACCCAACTCCAAAGCAGGAGAAAGCTGGACCTCTGCAGGTGTTGTTGTTGTTCATTCGTTCAGTCGTCTCCGACTCTTCGTGACCTCATGGACCAGCCCACGCCAGAGCTCCCTGTCGGCCGTTACCACCCCCAGCTCCCTCAAGGTCAGTCCAGTCACTTCAAGGATGCCATCCATCCATCTTGCCTTGGTCGGCCCCTCTTCCTTTTGCCTTCCACTTTCCCCAGCATAATTGTCTTCTCTAGGCTTTCCTGTCTCCTCATGATGTGGGAGGTAAAGGACGTGAAATGGCAGAAGATGAGCCTTGATGTGAGGGAACAGAGTTAGATGGTTCCCTCCACTGTCCCACACTTTCCCTCCATTCATGTGATGAGGTCCATCAAGTAACCATCAAGAAAGACCCTCTTCCATGTTCTCACTGTATATGCCTGTGAAGATGCTAGGTCTGCGAGATGCAACCTCACAAGCACCATACCTGGACATGTTCTTATGGGAAGTTATGCTCCTGCAGGTTCTAGCTGCATAGTGCTTTATGTGGTATAAATAACATTTTGAGTAATGTCTGAAAACTGATGAGTGACCAGTGACTTTTTTGTGACAAGGGAGTTAAGGGCTCCCTGTCTCTGCAGTTTGTTTCTGAACATTTTTCTAAGGAAGCCTGTATTGAGTATGTTCAAATCATTCAAATGTTCTTCAGGCATGTGTGACTGTGGCTAGATTGCCAGGAACAGATGGAATTAACACATCATCTCTAATAGTGCAAATGCACTCCTTGATACCCTAGAAAACATTCAGGTTCAAACTTGTATCCAAGAATAAGCTGAATAGCAAGTGGCCAGGACCTCTTCTGTTTTGTTTGGATTAAGGCGCAATTTATCCTCATCCAATCAATTACTAATGACAGACATTTATTTATTTATTTATTTATTTATTTGCTTTATTTTTATACCGCATTTATTAGCCTAATTCAGCGACTCAATGCGGTTTACAATGCAATTTATATAACAATAACAATTAGTTAAAACACAACATACACGACAGACAATACAAGACAACACAACATAGTCATCAACGCCTCAGTAAAAATCAGATTCCGTTCTCGTAATCCTTCTACCATTCCTTTGTTCATTTATACCGTCTTCATGAGTTCAGTTGCCTTGTTGGTCGAACGCTTGTTCATAGAGCCACGTCTTGACCTTCCTCTGGAACTCCAGCAATGAAGGGGCCTGCCTGATGTCTACGGGTAGGGCATTCCATAGCCGAGGGGCCACCACCGAGAAGGCCCTGTCCCTCGTCCCCGCCAGCCGCGCCTGCGACGCAGGCGGGACCGAGAGCAGGGCCTCCCCGGACGATCTTAACGTCCTCGTCGGTTCATAGGTGGAGATGCGTTCGGAGAGGTAAGCAGGGCCAGAACCGTTTAGGGCTTTATAGGCTAAAGCCAGCACCTTGAATTGTGCCCGGTAGCGGATTGGCAGCCAGTGGAGCTGGCTCAGCAGAGGAGTGGTATGCTCCCTGAGTGCCGCTCCCGTTAGCAACCTGGCTGCCGAGCGCTGGACCATCTGAAGCTTCCGGGCAGTCTTCAAGGGCAACCCCACGTAGAGCGCATTGCAGTAATCAATCCGGGATGTAACCAGAGCGTGGACCACCGTGGCCAAATCAGACTTCCCAAGGTACGGGCGCAGCTGGCGCACAAGTTTGAGTTGTGCAAATGCTCCCCTGGACACCGCCGAAACTTGGGGTTCCAAGCTTAGCGAAGAGTCCAGGATCACACCCAAGCTGCGAACCTGCGTCTTCAGGGGGAGTGTAACCCCGTCTAACACAGGCTGTAACCCTATACCCTGTTCGGCCTTTCGACTGACCAGGAGTGCCTCTGTCTTATCTGGATTCAGTTTCAATTTGTTAGCCCTCATCCAGTCCGACACAGCGGCCAAGCAGCGGTTCAGGACCTGAACAGCCTCCTTAGTAGTAGGTGGGAAGGAGTGACAGAGTTGGACGTCATCTGCGTACAGATAACACCGCACCCCGAAACTCCGGATGATCTCTCCCAACGGCTTCATGTAGATGTTAAATAACATGGGGGACAATATTGAGCCCTGCGGGACCCCACAAGTCAATGGTTGTGAGGTAGAGCAGTTGTCCCCCAGCAACACCTTCTGAGTACGACCCTCTAGGAAGGACCCGAGCCACTGCAGAACAGTGCCACCAAGGCCCATTCCCGCGAGGCGTCCCAGAAGGATACCGTGGTCGACGGTATCGAAGGCCGCTGAGAGGTCCAGCAGCACCAACAGGGACACACTCCCCCTGTCGAGCTCCCGGCGCAGATCATCCACTAAGGCGACCAAGGCTGTCTCGGTACCATGTCCCGGCCTGAAGCCAGACTGTGCCGGATCTAGATAATCAGTGTCTACCAAGAATACCTGGAGTTGTGAGGCCACCACACGTTCCAGGATTTTTGCCCAAAAAGGGAAGATTGGAAACAGGCCGATAGTTGAGGAATTGAGTGGGATCCAGTGATGGTTTTTTCAACAGTGGTTTTATCACAGCTTGTTTTAAGCTGGCTGGAATTTTGCCTTCCCGAAGGGAGGCATTAACCAATAAGAGTTCCTTAAATTTATGTAAAAAGGAGCAATACAATTGAGTATCATCAGCCTATTAGTGACACTGCTACTAATAACCACTCCCAGTGGTTTCATGTTAAATGGCATAGGAAAGAGAACTTTACCTGGAATTGAGAGAGAACAAGGGGGAAAAAAATCACTCTTTATTTTTTACTATCAGAATCCATGATGAGCCATATGGAAGTCCCATTCTACTGCTTGTCTTTTAGTGGATCTTTGGGTGCATCTATACTGCAGGATGAATGTAATTTTACTTTAGATGTAATGTCTTAATGCTATGGAATCCTGGGATTTGTAGATTGGTGAGGCACCAGCACTATCTGGTAGTGAAGGCTGAAGACCTTATAAAACTACAGCTCCCCTGATTTAGTAGCATTAAGCTTTGCAGTTAAACTGGTGTCAACCCACATTAATTCTACAATAGAGATGCACCTTTTGGCATAGTAACTCTACACCATTGTTTGCAGTTATTCTAAAAGAATTATTTAACAAGCTTCTTTCTTTTTCTTTTTTGTTTCAAATAATGTTATATATTTTCTTCCGCAATGGAAACAAAAATGATGCATACCACTAATAACAAAAAGTAATAAAACATTCAAAAGACGCAATAAAATGGTATAGAATGATAAAACAACAAAGTTTCCATTAATACTGCATGTCCAGGTTCAGCGGGACTTACTCCTAAACAGCTCCAATAAGATTTCAGCACGAGTAGCAGTAATTTAAACAGGTCTGTGCAGTTCTATAAACAGCCAACTATAAATCAGGCTACTTTCATAACCTCTAGCTGAGATTAGAGCCATTACTGTGGCCTTGGATATGTACTTGTGAGATCATTTCGTGTGAATCAGCTATCTAAGTATATAAAATAATTTGACAGTGTTTTATGGTAAAAATATGTTTAGACAAGCATAGTGCTAAGTATGATGCTTAAAAATCAATGTTAAATCCAAATGTCAAATCTTCTTATCATTCTATTCATGGATGCAATTCTAAGTGTATACAAAGAAGATCCTTGCAGGGATTTGCAACAGAATTACCATTAGATTCATGTTGTAGCCTGCTTACTTACTTGCTTCCCTTTCCCAAGCATGGCTTTCTGACTGCAGCACTTATTACTAAGGGCCCTTCCACACAGCCCAAAGCAGATATTGTGGGGTTTTTTGCCCTGATTTTCTCCTTACACACCGCTGAATAAAATCCCACTTTATCTGCTTTGAACTGGAATATATGGCAGTGTGGACTCAGATAACCCAGTTCAAAGCAGATATTGTGGGATTTTCTGCCTTGATATTCTGGGTTATATGGCTGTGTGGACGGGCCCTAAGAGTGCTGCCACACAACACAATTATAGTACAGTACAACTCCCATATCCACAGGACCACAGGACTAGGTCCTCCAGCATGGTGTTATGGTATTTTTCTTCTGGAATGCATTCATTTCAATAGTGTTCTCTTTATCTGCAGTTTTACATTTTCATGGTAAGTCCAGGAACATATCCTTCACAGATATGGGAGCTTACTGTACTAAGTTTCCATTTTACTGCCTTAGCAACATCTTATGAAACTTAGAGTTTGTAGTTTGATGAGGCACTTGAGATTTCTGGCTGAGAATTCTGAATACATTTCCCTAAACTGAAAATAACAACAAAAACAACAACAACAAAACAACAACTTTATTTTTATACCCCACCTCCATCTTCTTGAAGGGACTCAGGACAACTTACATGGGGACGAGCCCGGGCAAACATAGATTAAGAACATGACACAATAAAATAAAGATTAAAAATAAAATAAACACATCATAAAACATAACAAGCATCATAAAACAAATCACAGGATTCAACAGCAAGTTGCTGTGGCGGTTATAATGGAATCATAATGCTTGGGGGGGGGGGGGAGATTTCACCAGAAATGGCCTCAAATCTTTTTTCACCATATAAAAGGAAAATCTGTTGATGCTTTTGCATTTTTCACATACCAGATAGTATTATCAATCATATGCTTTCCTTATCCTTGTGTGATCTTTCCCTTCTCTTGTTCTGATTTGCAGATAGTGAACTTATTCCTCCTGATTGTCTCCGTCCGAGATCCTTCACAGCTATCCGCCGGCCTTCCTTGCGCAGAGAGACCGAGGACACTCGTCTGTCTGTGAGCCTCTGTGACCTCAACCTCCAGGAAGAGAACTTCCATGTCATGGCTGCCATGTGTCCTATCCCACAGAACTCCCTCAACTCTCAACATTCCCACCTCCTCCCATCCCAGCTTGAAAGTGACCTCCGCTTTCATCAGCTCAGGGGAGCCCACATTAAAATTCTGGACGACCAGACCGTGGCCCGTTTGGAGCACGCTCGCGAAGAGAGAACTTTGGTCTTCACCAACAGGCCCCTTAGAATCAATGAGACAATATTTGTCAAAATTAACAAATCCAACACCTCACGTACTGGGACACTGTCTTATGGAGTGACCACTTGTGATCCTAGCACCTTGAGGCCCAGTGATCTTCCATATAATCCCGAGTCTTTGGTTGATCGAAAAGAGTTCTGGGCTGTTTGTAGAGTGCTGGTACCTCTCCAGAGTGGGGACATTTTGGGATTCATGGTGAATTCAGAAGGTGAACTGCATTTGAGCCACAATGGAGCAAACACTGGCATGCAAGTGTGTGTGGACTGTTCCCAACCACTTTGGATGTTCTTTGGTTTACATGGAGCAGTAATGCAAATACGTGTCCTTGGTATGTTCTCCTTTTATCACATGTGCAATGTTATTGACATGAATGGATTCGTATGTGTGGTTAGTGGTGACACCAGAGTCTGGTACTATTGCACAGAATGGAGTATATGGGTTCTGTGGGAGGTTTTGTCACTTGTGTACTAGGTATTGGATGTGAGAGAATGGAGAAAGTATGCTTGTTTAATAGATGTAGTCCTAGACATTTGGATATCCTATGATGCTGTGACAGTGAGAAAAAGGTAAGTAACTGTTATTTACTTCAGGCGATAGTAGACCCTTTCTTTAGTACTATCTGTGGAATAGAACATTGACTTCTAGTCTATAAAATATTGCATTAAAATAAATATTCTTCTAATGTTAGAATTTTGCATATGTAAACAAGCAAAAAGAAAGACTGCTTACTCCAGACTGGATCATGATTATAGTGTTGCAAGGGCAAGTATGTAAGATAGAGGTACATACATGATACAGTTTGAGGTAAGCATGAATGATTCAATTGGAGTAAGAATGATATCATTGGGAGTAAGTAATTTTCACTAGCACTACTGTGAAGAGCAAACTTTTTAAGTAATTCAGTCATGTAATTTAATACATGATTTAGATATATAGATAGTCCCCAAATTATGAACAAGATAGGTTCTATAGGTTTGTTCTTAAATTGAATTTGTATATAAAAGCTTTGGATGGCATAGGGAAAGGTTAACACCCCTGTGGTGTTTGTTTTGCTGTGTGTGGCCCTGTTCAGAAGATTACACCTCACTTTTTGTCCCTGTGATAATTGGATTTTGCAAAATTTGGTTCATTGTGGAAACAAGGATTGGTGAAAAGGACACCTTTTCCCAGTGATGACTCTTTGAGGAGTGAGTTTCACTTCTTGTTGTCTCAGTCTTGTTTGCAACTATGAGACATTTGTAAATCAGATGTTTGTAACTCAGGAACTCCCCGTTGTTCATTAATATTCATTCTAATGACATTATCAAGGCTTTTCTAGCAGATCTGTATTCTTGGAAGCAGTTTCTTACACTCATAAATCTAGTGAGTAACTTGTAGCTTCTCCCCAAACTTAATAATTTTATTTCAGAGAAGCTGGAAGGGACTCACCTCTCTCAAAACAGATTATTTTAAACTGTTTTGTTAGGCATGTCCCTCTGTAAGCCGCCCTGGGTCCCTTCAGGGAGATGGAGTTATTATTATTATTATTATTATTATTATTATTATTATTATTATTTTACTGACACAAAAACACAGTATGTCACAGCCAATGAGATCTATATGCTGGATTTCATATCACAAAATCGAACACTTCCCAAGCATCTAGGACTGTGTGATGTATTTTCGAATGATGCGTGCAGATCCAAGTAAGGTGACCTTTTGCAGTTGACAGATTGTGATTTTGTCAATGTTTATTGTTTCCAAATGCTGACTGAGATCTTTTGGCATGGCACCCAGTGTGCCACTGGGACCACCTGTACTGGTTTATGCCAGAGCCTTTGCAGTTCGATTTTGAGGTCCTGATAGTGGCTGAGTTTCTCCTATTATTATTATTATTATTATTATTATTATTATTATTATTATTATTATTAAACCATGAACAATGTGATCAAATTACACACATACAAAAACACTCTGGACATTATTCTTCCACCAAAATCAACTAGGTTCAAAATGATCATCCTGTCCATTGTGGCATTTCTGGAATTATGTGGGATCTAATGCATAACTATCTAAGGTAAAAGATGATTAATATGACATTTGTACAACCTACTCCTTCAGTAGTTAACCCAATGAAGAGCATATAGCTTTTTTTTTAAAACTTTTTTTTTAAAAAAAGTACAATCCTTGTATCTGCAGAGGATATGTTCCAGGACTCCACCTGGATATGCAAAACTGCTGGTAATAACAAACCTTATTAAATGAACAATTTCCAGCAGGAGCAAACTATAAGGTAGAACAGGTAAATGAAGTTGTGAGTATTAGTCCCATGGATACAGGGGCCATAGTACAATAAAAAGGGGGGGAAGTTCAATGGTGCAGCAGGAGGAAGTAGTTTGGCCAATGCCCAGTGCTTCTTTTGGAAGAGATTCTGTGGTTTTGAGGAAGCCAAATTAGATGTGAGCTTAATTCCAGGTTCTTGACCTCAGGATGCATGTATTGCATCCACAAATTCCTAATACAACTGAAAGAATCCTATGCTCAAGGTGAATCATTGGCAGGTGACAGCTGCGCTCCTTACTGGGAAAGCCTTGTTCCTTTTAAAAGGGAGCACCTTCCCCTCTCTTGCAGGAATTGTGCTTTCTTGGAAAAATACCATTAGTCAGCAGTTGAAAATGAATCTACCACAAGAAGAACTTGGCGAATGCATACCACGACTGCACATAAACATGCCTAATAGGTCTCTTCCTTTATTCCGCATCTTCTCTCAAGGGTGCCCTTGAGTTTTATGAACCATGCTTTTAAGGTTTTTTTTCTTTATGGAAAATGGACTCACTAAAAAGACAGAAATTTAGCAGATGAATCTTTCAGGGCACTTTGCTGCCTAAAGTATTCAGAAAACTGGAAGGCAGATGGCACTTTGGTAGAAATCAGTTTAAAAGTAGCTTCTTTGGGGTTTCTGGTAAATGTCTAAATATTTTTCATGCCTTCAGCACATCCTTGAAAGACATCAGGCGTGTTAAATGTTGTGTGAGCCCTTCCATCAGGCTGAAACATTTTTTTTCCTTGTGAGTGAGGCATACATTAGTAATGTTAATTGGTAAGCAGTTCCCAAGGGGATTTAATCATCGTTTGTTAAAGGTTTGTGCATTGACATTACATTGTGCCCTGAATGGGCTTTAATTCAGAGCATCATTTAAAAATGAAATCAGTGTAAATATGCCCACTTACAATGCCAGGGAACAATATTAATAGAAGAGCCATGCAACATGAGGAAAATTCAATGGTAGCCCTGATGAATATTTCACTTTCATCTCCAAAGTCTTAAGTACGTAGTGTAGCCAGACTTTCAGAATAGCAATCCGTGACCTAAAAGGACTGATAATCAGGAAGTGACTATCTGTGTTCTCCCTAAATACCAAATGAAAGTATACATTTCAATTAACTTAGGTATCTTTTCTTCTGAAAAATTAGCCTGTTGACAACTTCTATAAATGAAATTATTCACATAATTCCTTATGAAGGGCATACATGGAATTTATTGGCATCTTGTTGAGTCTAAATAAAAGCAAAAGTTGTCTCAACCTGTGGGTCCCCAGATGTTTTGTCCTTCAACTCCCAGAAATCCTAACAGCTGGTAAACTGGCTTGGGATTTCTGGGAGTTGTAGGCCAAAACACCTGGGACCCACAGGTTGAGAACCACTGACTTAAGGGTCTATTTCTAGCTCTCAAATAAGGTGCATTCCTTATAATAAGGGATATCTGCCAAACCTGTAAATTCAAGCTTTTTCGGCCATGAAATAAAGGATACCTGGCAACCCCATATCTAAGACCAACTAAGTCCTGTTGCTTCAAGAGAATGACTTCAAACCTGCTGTAGTTATAGGCAACAAGTGGCATCTAACAACAGGTTACTGTGCATCTTTAGCCATAAACTGGGCTAAGGGACATCATGAAGGAAATAGGGTGTGAATCTCCATCTGTATGAGCCAAGTATGGAAGATGACTTCTGCGTGTGACTCCTCCTTGATTACTACCATTCATATTGATACCATGGGCCTTTTCACACTATGGAATTGTAGCTCTGTGTTTCCACTTTAACTGACGTAGGAGCTTCCTATGAAAACCCGGTGATTGTTGTTTGGTGGATCCTGGAGCTCTCTGACTGAGAAATTTAAATAAATCTTCCTTAAATACAAACCCTAGGTTTCCACAGGATGTTGCTATTGTAGTTAAAGTGGAATTGTAATGCTATTACTGCAAAAGAATTCCTAGTCTGGAATTCAGAATTTGGAAACTTTGATGAATCAAGATGATGATGACTTTAGGGTCCTCTAAGGCAGTGGTTCTCAATCTGTGAGACCCCAGGTGTTTTGGCCTACAACTCCCAGAAATCCTAGCCAGTTTACCAGCTGTTAGGATTTCTGGGAGTGGAAGGTCTAAACATCTGGGGACCCACAGGTTGAGAACCACGGCTCTAGGGGCTGTACAGATTGCAAAAAGATTTATTTTTTTTGGTCATGTCAGGAGCAACCGCTCCTGTTGTGAGAGAATTGGCTGCCTGCAAGGACGTTGCCCAGGGGATGCCTGGATGCAGAAAGGTGAAAAAGACAGGAAAAGAAAAGAAAGCTGGAAGTAACCAGTACCCTACCTCTGATTTTGGAAGTGAAGTATTATAAGTAACACAGTTATCTGTAACCTATTGAGGTCCTTATCCACTATACAATTATAGTGTTATATTCCTTTTAACTGCCATGACAACATCTAAAGGAATCCTGGGATTTGCAGTTCAGGGAGGGATATTTAGAATTCTCAGCCAGGGATCCCTTCTTGTGCCTCTGACCAAATTGCAAGCCCCATAATTCCATAGGACGCATCTGTGGCACTTAAAGGAAAATATAGAACGTTAGTCACATAGAGTATGAGCCAATAGTATAAATTAACATAAGATTATTTTTATTTTTTTCCCCTAGGAAGCATGCATAGTGCTAATCTCAGTTGGGACCAGAACATATGGTGAAAATTAAACCTCCCCTCCCCAGTGATTTTTGTTTTGAATTCCTCCCATCCACCATTTGAGGACTATAAAAATAAAAGAAAAACATGTTTCTTTCTTTTTGTAGCTATTGTGTAGATGCATTGAAACAAAACCCAGCTAGCATGAAAAGATCCAGGCCTTCCTCACATACTTGACTGGCTCCATTCCAGTTCAGGGGCAGCACACAGAAAATAAATCAGAAAAGCAACATTGGTTGCATGCTGTGTATTTAACAGAAAAGAAATATAAGTTGCATGCTAATATAGTCTGCCAGAAGAAGATGGGAGGCATCACTGCCCTATAGCTTGGC